GGGATATGGGATATGGGATGGGATATAGGATATAGAATGGGATATAGGATATGGAATGGGATATGGGATAGGATATGGGATGGGATATGGGATATGGGATGGGATATAGGATATGGAATGGGATATGGGATATGGGATATGGGATATGGGATGGGATATGGGATATGGGATATGGGATATGGGGATGTGGGGTATGGGATATGGGATATGGGATGGGATATGGGATATGGGATATGGGATGGGGAGATGGTGACGGATGGAGGGGACATGGGATTGGGGCCAGGGGATGGAGGAGTGGGGGATGTGGGATGGGGAACACACACGGGGTGAGGGCGGTGGGACACGGCCCCGGATCCGCCTCTGGAATCGTTGTCCCGCTGCTGTCCCTGTCCCGCCCCTGGCTTGAAGGTTCCCGTTCCCATCCCAAACGTTCCCATCCCAAATGTCCCCATCCCAAACATTCCCATCCCATCCCGGCCTGTCCCATCTCTATCCCTGTCTTCATTCTGATCCCAATCCCACTTTCATGCCCACCCCAACCCCAACCCCAACCCCAATCCCAATCCCAATCCCAATTGCCATCCTGATCCCAATTCATAATTCCCAAACCCCAATTCCCAATTCCCAAACCCCAAATTCCCAAATCCCCAAATCCCAAATCCCCAAATCCCAAACCCACAAATCCCAAACCCCAAATCCCAAACCCACAAACCCCAAATCCCAAATCGCCCAAATCCCCCAAATCCCAAATCCCCCAAATCCCAAACCCACAAATCCCAAACCCCAGACCCCAGATCCCAAACCCCAGACCCCAAACCCCAGACCCCAAATCCCCCAAAATCCCAAACCCCATTCCCAATTCCCGCCCCTCACCTGTTGAGCCCCCGGACCATGTAGGACTGGAGATCCACGGAGCTGCGGGGACAGGGACAGGTGAGACCCAGGTGAGACCCAGGTGACACCGCCAGGTGAGACCCTGGGACACCTGGGACAGGTGGGGACACCAGGGGACAACGGGGGGGACAGGTGGGGACATCAGAGGGACACTGGGGCAGGACAGGTGAGACCCTCAGGTGAGACCCTGGGACACCTGGGACAGGTGGGGACAAGGGGGGACACCAGGGGGGACAGGTGGGGACATCAGAGGGACACTGGGGCTGGACAGGTGACACCCCCAGGTGAGACCTGGGACAGGTGGTGACACCCAGAGGGACACAGCGGGGGAGAGGTGACACCCCCAGGTGAGATCTGGAGACACCTGGGACAGGTGGGGACACCCAGGGGGACACAGGGGGGGACAGGTGAGACCATCAGGTGAGACCTGGGGACACCAAGGGAACATGGAGGGGACAGGTGACACCTCCAGGTGAGACTCAGGGACACCTGGGACAGGTGGGGACATGGGGGGACACCAGGGCAGGACAGGTGAGACCCCAGGGACACCTGGGAAGGGTGGGGACACCAGAGGACACCGGGGGGGACAGGTGAGACCCTCAGGTGAGACCTCAGGCAACGACAGGTGACACTGGGGGTCACAGGTGGGACGTGAGGTTCCTGCAGGTATTTGGGGGTCACCATGGGGATATTGGGGGGTGGGGTCACAGGTGGGTGTGGCCACCCCAGGTGAGGCCAGGTGAGACAGGGGACACCTTGGCCACATGACCAGCCAAGATGGGGGGTGGAGCCACCCCAGGTGAGACTGAGGGCCACCAGGTGAGGCCAGGTGAGACGGAGGGGACACCTTGGGCACACAACAGGACACGATGGGGGGGTGAGGCCCCAGGTGAGGGCTGCAGGTGAGACCTTGGCCACACAAGGGGACACAGCAGGGGGGTGGCAGGTGGGTGGGGCCATGCCAGGTGAGGCCAGGTGAGACCTTGGCCACACAAGGGGACACCAGGAGGGCTGACAGGTGAGTGGGGCCATGCCAGGTGAGGCCAGGTGAGACCTTGGCCACACAAGGGGACACCAGGAGGGGCTGACAGGTGGATGAGGCCATGCCAGGTGAGGCCAGGTGAAACCTTGGCCACACAAGGGGACACGACAGGGGGTGACAGGTGGGGCCACACCAGGTGAGACCAATGGCCACCAGGTGAGGCCAGGTGAGACAGGGGGACACCGTGGCCACAGAAGGGGACACCAGGAGGGGCAGGTGACAGGCGGGTGGGGTGACCCAGGTGAGGCCAGGTGAGACAGGGACACACCTTAGCCACAGAAGCAGACACGAGGGGCGCGGCGGGCGGGCGGGCGGGCAGGTGCGCTCACCTGTTGAGGTCGCGCACGAGGTAGGGCTGCAGGTCGGCCGAGGGCCCGCGCAGCACCAGCCCCTTGGGCGGCAGCCGCTCGCCCTGGCTGGGCTGGCGCTGCAGGTGAGGGTTGCGCAGCGCCACGCTGATGTCCGTCAGCAGCCGCGGCAGCGGGCCCAGCTTCAGCAGCGCCTCCTGCAGACAGGTGAGAGCACCTGAGTGCACCTGGGTGCACCTGGGGACACCTGGGAGCACCCCCAATGCCTACAATGGGGCCCAGCTTCAGCAGCGCCTCCTGCGGACAGGTGAGAGCACCTGAGTGCACCTGGGTGCACCTGGGGACACCTGGGAGCACCCCCAATGCCTACAATGGGGCCCAGCTTCAGCAGCGCCTCCTGCGGACAGGTGAGCGCACCTGAGTGCACCTGAGTGCACCTGGGAGCACCTGAGCGCACCTGAGCACACCTGAGCGCACCTGAGAGCACCCCCAATGCCTACAATCGGGCCCAGCTTCAGCAGTGCCTCCTGTGGACAGGTGAGCGCACCTGAGTGTGCCTGGGAACACCTGAGCACACCTGAGTGCAACTGAGTGCACCTGGGAGCACCTGAGTGCACCTGAGCGTGCCTGGGAACACCTGAGCACACCTGAGTGCAACTGAGTGCACCTGGGAGCACCTGAGTGCACCTGAGCGTGCCTGGGAACACCTGAGCACACCTGACTGTACCTGAGCTTGCCTGAGTGCACCTGAGAGCACCCCAAATGCCTGCAATGGGGCTTCAGCAGCTTCAGCAGCGCCTCCTGTGGACAGGTGAGCGCACCTGAGTGCACCTGGGAGCACCTGAGCGTGCCTGAGTGCACCTGGGAGCAGCTGGGCACACTTGAGTGTAACTGGGCACACCTGAGTGCACCTGAGCATGCCTGGGAACACATGGGGACACCTGAGTGCACCTGAGCACATCTGAGTGCACCTGGGAGCACCCCAAATGCCTGCAATGGGGCCCAGCTTCAGCAGCGCCTCCTGCAGACAGGTGAGTGCACCTGAGTGCACCTGGGAACACATGGGGACACCTGAGTGCACCTGAGCACATCTGAGTGCACCTGGGAGCACCCCAAATGCCTGCAATGGGGCCCAGCTTCAGCAGCGCCTCGTGCGGACAGGTGAGCGCACCTGAATGCACCTGAGTGCACCTGAGAACACCTGAGAACACCTGGGGACACTGGAGCGCACCTGAGTGCAACTGAGTGCACCTGGGAGCACCTGAGAGCACCTGAGCACACCTGAGCAAACCTGAGTGTAACTGGGCACACCTGAGCACACCTGGGAACACCTGGGAGCACCTGGGACCTCCCACTGGCTGCACACAGGGGGACCCCAAAGACTGTGACAGAGCCCAGCTTCAGCAGCGCCTCCTGCGGGGGGCGCCCCGCACACCTGGGCACACCTGGGCACACCTGGGGAGCTCACCCGCGCAGGTGGGACCCCTGGGACCTCACCTGGGGGGACCCCAGGAACCTCCCATGATGGGACAGCTGCGGAGGATTGTCACTACACAGGTGAGGCTGTGGCCACCCAGGTGAGGTTCTCACCGCACAGGTGAGGCCGTGGCTGCACAGGTGAGGTTCTCACCGCACAGGGAAGGCCATGGGGCCTCCCCAGGTGTGCCCCAGGTGCGGTACCTTGCTGAGCTGGCTCATGACCTCCCAGAGCAGCTGCGGCAGGATGTCCATCCCTATCCCCCCCCCCCAGGTGAGGCTGTGGCTGCACAGGTGAGGCTGTGGGTGCACAGGTGAGGCCGTGGCTGCACAGGTGAGGTTCTCACCGCACAGGTGAGGCCGTGGCTGCACAGGTGAGGTTCTCACCGCACAGGTGAGGCTGTGGGTGCACAGGTGAGGCTGTGCCCGCACAGGTGAGATTGTCACTGCAAGGTGAGGCTGTCACCACAGGTGAGGGGTTCACAGGTGCGGTACCTTGCTGAGCTGGCTCATGACCTCCCAGAGCAGCTGCGGCAGGATGTCCATCCCTATCACCACCCCCCAGGTGAGGCTGTGGCTGCACAGGTGAAGTTCTCACCGCACAGGTGAAGCTATGCCCACACAGGTGAGGCTGTGGGTGCACAGGTGAGGCTGTGCCCGCACAGGTGAGGTTCTCACCGCACAGGTGAGGCGGTGCCTGCACAGGTGAGGCTATGCCCACACAGGTGAGGCTGTGGGTGCACAGGTGAGGCTATGCCTGCACAGGTGAGGTTCTCACCGCACAGGTGAGGCTGTGCCCGCACAGGTGAGGCTATGCCCACACAGGTGAGGCTGTGGGTGCACAGGTGAGGCTGTGGCCGCACAGGTGAGGGGCTGACAGGTGCGGTACCTTGCTGAGCTGGCTCATGACCTCCCAGAGCAGCGCGTGCAGCGTGGACAGCTCGCGGCCCAGGTCGATGTAGCCCTCGAAGCTGGTGCTGTTGGTCAGCGTGTCCAGGTTGGAGATCTCGTACAGGAACTGCTGCATGCTGGCCCACTCCAGCTCCAGGAACTCGTTCATGAACGCCATGTACTCCTCCTTGCTCCCGAACCTGGCACAGGGCCACAGGTGAGGGCGGGGCTGGCAGGTGGGTGGGGACACCCCCAGCAGGTGAGGGCAGGGCCACCAGGTGGTGGGGACACCCCCAACAAGTGAGGGTGGGGCCAGCAGGTGAGTGGGAACATCCCCAAAAAGTGAGGGTGGGGCTGGCAGGTGGGCAGGGACACCCCCAGAAGGTGAGGATGAGGCTGACAGGTGGACTTCAGCAGGTGAGGGTGGGGTGGGCAGGTGGGTGAGAACACACCCAGCAGGTGAGGGTGGGGTCAACAGGTGGGCAGGGACACTCCCAGCAGGTGAGGGTGGGGCCAGCAGGTGGGCGGGGACACTCCAAGCAGGTAAGGGAGAGGAAGCCAGGTGGGCGGGAACACCCCCAGGCAGGTGAGGGCAGGGCCAGCAGGTGGGCCCCAGCAGGTGAAGGGTATTCCCAGTGTGAGGGGTAGGGTGGGAGGTGGCAGGTGAGGGGGGCGAAGGGGGGAAGTGGGGGTTGTCCATCATCCATCATCATCATCATCATCCATCATGCACCATCATCCATCTTCATCCTTCATCCATCATCATCATCATCATCATCATCCATCCATCATCACCCATCCATCATCATCCATCATCCATCATATATGTATCATCATCCTTCATCTTCCATCATCCGTCCTTCATCCATTGTCATCTTACATCATCATCCATCATCATCGACGATTATCATCCATCATCATCCATCATCTATCCATCTATCATCCATCAACATCTATTGTCAGCCATCGCCATCATCATGATCCATCATCCATCCATCCATCCATTGTCATCTCCCATCATCATCCATCATCATCCTTCACCCATCCATCACCCTTCATCCATCTATCATCCATCCATCCATCCCTCCATCCATCATCCATCATCCATCCATCCATTCATCCATCCCCCTCCCCCGCCCCTTCCCCCGCTCCCTCCCGCCATCACCGCCCTCACTTGGTGAAGTTGGCCAAGTTCTGGATGACCTTGGCGATGAGGGTCAGCGTCCGCGCCGTCTGCTCGTCGGGGTACTCCTGCATGAGGCCGAAGAGGCTGGGGGACATCACGGCGGGGCACAGGAAGCGCAGGAAGAGCGAGGCGCTGATCAGGCGGTCGGCGATGTCCTCGCGCCCGCGCTCGGCGCAGCGCAGCCGCCACGAGGCGAACACCTCCTTCAGCTCCCGCGGGAACACGCTGCGGCAGGACACGGTGTCACACAGTGTCACACGGTGTCACCTGGACCCCCGAGGACCTCCCCGGGACGTCCCCGCCGCGTCCCCGCACTCACCAGTGGGAGTTGACCACCTTGCAGAGCGCCAGCTCGCAGCACATGCGCAGGTTGGCCTGGTGGTCGGCCAGGGTGGAGGCCGAGCACTTCATGGGGTCCACCTCGCAGTTCTCCTCCGACTCGTAGAGCGCACGGATGAACTCGCCTGTGGCCCAGCGCGGGCAGGGCGACACAGGGACACCCACGGGGACACCGAGGGACAGGGGGAGAAGGGACCCAACCGTGTCATGGAGGTGACAAGGGACCTCCCAAAGATCTCATGATGGTGGTGACGGAACGTGGCTTTGAGTAGGGATCACCCAATGACCTAATGGCCATGACAGGGACCTCCCAACCATGTCATGGATGTGAGAAGAGACCACCCAAAGATCTCATGGTAGTGGTGATGGAACATGGCCATGAGTGGGGACCACCCAATGACTTAATGGCCATGACAGGGACCACCCAAAGATCTCACGATGGATCATGATTGTGACGATGGAACATGGCCATGAGTGGGAACCATCCAATGACCTAATGGCCATGACAGGGACCTCCCAACTGTGTCCTGGATGTGAGAAGGGAACTAGCAAAAGATCTCATGATGGTGGTGATGGAACATGGCCATGAGTCGGGACCATCCAATGACCTAATGGCCATGAGTGAGGACCACCCAATGATCTCATGATGGTGGTGATGGAACATGACTGTGAGTGGGGACCACCCAATCGTGTCATGGCCATGAGTGAGGACCACCCAAAGATCTCAATATGATGGTGATGGAACATGACTGTGAGTGGGGACCGTCCAATTGTATCATGGATGTGAGAACAGACCAACCATTGATCTCATGATGGTGGTGATGGAACCTGAGCAGAGTGGGGACCATCCAATGACCTAATGGCCATAAATGGAGATCACCCAACCACATCATGGATGTGAGAAGAGACCACCCAATGATTTCATGATGGTGATGATAAAACATGGCCATGAGTGGGGACAACCCCAGATCTCATGATGATGGTGGTAATGGAACCTGGAACTACCCAATGATCTGATGGTCATGAGAAGGAACGACCCAACGATCTCACGATGGTGGCAATGGAACTCATGGCTATGAGTGGGGACCACCCAACCACCTCATGACCACAAAAAGGGGCCACCCAGCCATGTCAGGACCATAAGCAGGGACCAAGCAAATGTCACATGGCCACAAGAAGAGACCACCCAACCATCTCATTGATGAAGGTGATGGAAGTTGATTGTGAGTAGGGACCACCCAACCATCCCAGAAACATCTGACTGGGGAGGTGGCCATGAGAAGAGAGCACCCAATGATCTCATGGTCATGAGAAGGGACAACCCAATCATCTCATGATGTTGGTGATGGAATCTGGTCATGTGTGGGACCCCAAACAATGTCATGGCCACAGGAAGGGACAATCCAATGACCTCATGATGGTTGTGATGGAAACTGGCCGTGAGTGAGGACCACCCAATGGTCTCATGGTGGTGGTGATAGAACCTGGCTGTGAATGGGGACCATCCAATGACCGCATAGCTATGAGTGGGGACCACTCAAGCATCTCATGATGACAAGAAGTGACCACCCAACCATGTCAAGGCCATGAGTGGGACCACCCACCCCACCACACCCCTGCAAATGAGACCACGCCCCTGCTGATGCCCCCCAGTGCCACTGGCGCTCACCAATGGCATCCTTGAGGTATTTCTGGCCGATGAGCTTCAGGTACTCCTCGATGGCTTTGGTGGCCAAGGTGTTCTCCCGGAAGATCAGATGCTCCCGGTCCATGAAACGATCCACCTCCGTCATGGCCATGTCCGACAGGAAGTCCTGCCCACAACCGTCAGTGTGGCCCGGGGCCAGATGTCCTTCTGTCCCATCTCCATCATCCATCCATCCATCCATCCATCCATCCATCATCCATCATCCATCCATCATCCATCCATCCATCCATCCATCATCCATCCATCCATCATCCATCCATCCATCCATCATCCATCCATCCATCCATCCATCCATCATCCATCCATCCATCCCATCCATCCATCATCCATCATCCATCCATCCATCATCCATCCATCCATCCATCCATCCATCCATCCATCATCCATCCATCATCCATCCATCCATCCATCCATCCATCCATCCATCCCAACCTCCCAGATCCCACCATTCCAATCCCCTGAAGCCCCACCTTGGCCTTGCTGGTGCTCTGCAGGATGTGCACCAGCGCGCAGGCCACCTCCAGCTCCTTCCATCCATGCATCCATGCATCCATCCATCATCCATCCAATCATCCATCCATGCAGCCATAC